ACAAAAGGGTGAGAGTTACTCAGGAACCGAACAAGAAATTGTTTGCAAGCTGCAGAATTATATTTTTCCAAGTACAAATAAGCAGTGTGTCTCCTACATCTCCAGAAGCAAGTGCTGTGCCTTTTAATCAGGAGTCCTGTAATATTTGATTACATTTAATTAAACCCTCTTCAATCTCACACGTAGCCTCAGAGTGGAGCACATTAAGGGTTGCTTCCCGGACAAATGCATTCCAAGCAAAGTAACTCCTCATTTCAAAACAAAACCCCAGAAAACAAGAGAAAATTTGGCAATAATTTGTTACTACTCATTATATTCTCTGGAAAACTTCTCGGAGTCTTCCTTATTTTGGAACATTCATTAGTGTAAGGCTTTTCCATCTCCCTGGGAAACAGGACGTCAGGATTGCCAGGAAAAGAAAAAAGGGAAAAAAAAGTTGTACCTCTCCAGTTTTCCCATTTTCAGATTAAACTGAAAGCAACTGGTATACCTGTTCACCGGTTAAACCCCCAAATCATTGGTGTGTTATTCTTCCACAGGCACACTAGGCAATTCTTCTTCTAAACCACCAAAGGCACCTTCAAACAGCTCCAAAGGTTTAGAAATTCTGAACTCCGAAGGGAATGGGCTGTTTCCCTTCATCCAGCCTAGGTCTCACAGCCCTGGCGATGAGCCAGAGGATCTCCCAGGGCTCGGGGAGCCCCCGCTGAGCAGAGGAGCTGATCAAGTGACTTCTGATCTTGTTCAGCCATATCTTTCCTGCTGTTTCAGTATTTATATTCCTCACTTGATCAGCATTTAAGTTTGCCAGCTATTTTTAAAGAACTGCCTTAGCGAGCAGAATCGAATCCCCCACGACTCTAAAAATAAAGCAGGGAGCAGGACGAACCCCAGGATTTGCCGGCATACCACCCAAGCTTTCCCGCCCCCCAACCCAGCCGCTCGGGAGCGGCACTCGGGCGATGCTCCACCGCACACCGCGTTTCAGCAGCGGAGGGAGGACGTGTCGCCGGGAGGTTTCGGTCCCCGAGCACTCGCCATCGCACGCGAGCCCTGCTCTGCTCAAGAAAGCCAGTCCGCTCGTCTCAAAAGACACAAACAGCAAGCAGTGACAGCGGCAGCCCAGAGACAGAGCCT